TTTAAGTTGACTTCAAGTAATGTAAAGCACATTCTGCTTATACATTTCCACTTGTTCAGTCCTCTTTTCAAAATAACTGAGGTCTCTGCTAGGGTAATATCTAATTCTGTCAATAACTGCAAAGTAAGATCAACGCTGCTGAGAACAAGAATGAAAAATGGATCTCAAGTTCACAAACAACTAAATAAAGCCAGAGGGTCCGGGGCTCAGAGAAACGAGCTCAGCAGGGTCAGTGAAGATAAATCTTGCTTTAAGATGCCAAACTCTGCAATGTTTAACCTCCTAATTAACCCCAATTGGCTGTAGGAAATAGCACACGTACAAAAGCAGTATGAAATGGTCACATTATGAAGTATCATGACGGAGTATTAGGGCCAGTCAAAGACAACTACACCCATCAAACAGAAACACAAGCAGTCCACAATCCATATAGGCCTATCCAAATAAAAGCTGAAATATTGCAAGCTTAAAGACTGAAGGCCCATTGTGCTGCAATAAGCAGATTACTGCATAGATGGTAGTTTCTTACTGCATTGATGGTTTTAGTTTCAGCTCCTGAGCAGTTAAAGTAAGTTGTGTGCTTCCTGCACTCATTTCATGTTGGAAAGTTTTTTGCGGTTCGTCAGCCATAAGTCTTGATGAAGCTCCAGAACGGCAAGTTAACTGTAGAGGTCACTTACTCTAATTTGCTGTCACTCATCTCAATAGCTGCAGATAATATTAATCTACTAGAAAGCTGACTGCTTCTGAGCTGACATGTGAAGCCGCTGTTCCATTGGTGCATCTCAGGAAGATAAACTTTATTTAATTAGATATTAGATCTACCTAGGAAGCTTATAGGTTATTAAAGGTACATCATTAGCTAACTACCTGTAATAAGTTCAGCAAACTAATTAACAAGACATTTTTTTACGTTAACAAACAGATTCAAATGTATGTTGTACCTAAACTGCCCTAAACTTTTTGTATTCAATTGTTTTAATGTTTTTTTCTGTATCTTCATTCTGCTTTTCTGTATATTTTTCTGAGAATATGAATGTAAACAAAGTTAACTTTGCTCAAATGACCCCATTATATTTTACAATAAATATATAGCTTTCATCTTCACCAAATATATAATGTACTCATCACTACACACAAATCTAGTTTGTGTATACATACAATTACAATTCATATACACTATAAATATACTTAGTTACTTAGTCACTCACACATGCAGTTAGTATTTAATAAAAAACATAGATAAAATACTTTATTGATGACTTCTTCCTAAGGTCCGTTGTCCTAGTGTGGTCTGGTGACTCTGTTGATTGTGCTGCTGTCTCCCCCTTCCTGGGTTGGGAGTTTCAACCCCAGCCCATACTGGTTTTTTCCATTTTGCATTTGCTTCCTACAGGATTTCTCTTGCCATCCAAAGACATGCGGTTAGGCCACTGTGCCCTGTGGCGGACAGACCCCCCCCGTAACCCTAACCTGGATAACAAGTTAGAAGATGGAGTGGTATGAATCTAAAGCTTCCCACAGAGAAGTGGGAGCTTAACTTTTCAAGGCAAAACTCGCTAAAAGTCAATCCCCCCCTCATTCATGCGGGTACTCTGGACCTGAACGTTGAGAAACAGTTTGTTTCGGCGTGTTTTCAAAATGCAGTTGTTTGAGTGCCCCCCCGAAGCGGGCTGCATTTTGGTGTTCGGAGAAGGAGCGCCGTTGTGACTCCCACAATAAAACAACCTCCATAAATTATAGACCAAACTAACGGCCCCGGCCCGTCTGAGCCGCGGCGTGCAGCTGTGTTTGCCCCCACCACCCTTTAGCAAACTTACTCCACCAGCTGCTCCGGACCTCTGTAAAGCGGCGTGCCGTCTACCACCGTTACTTTGCTAATCTGCCTGTTTTACACGCTCCAGGTGAGAGCATCAGCAGAACGGTGTCTTACTAAAGATATATGTCTCACAAAGGTACAGTGTAATTTTTGTACTTCTGATACATCTTACATTCTCATGCAACCTGTATACCTCTGATGCTGGCTAAACTATACTCTTACCCTAATGCTAAACACATTTTCCATGCCTGTGTTTGTTGCCAACTGCAAGTTTTAAGTACACTCCTTCCTAGAGTTAGACTAGTGCTGTCATTTTTGGAGAGAGAAAAATCCTTAATAGTAGGTAAAGAGATTTAGCATAGAACTAATACAGTGCCAAACACCCCCTGATGAACATCCAGGTGCGATTACTGTACATTTTAAATCCAAATAAAATCACTAGTGGGTTGTTCCTGTGATGAGTCTGTTATAAGATGGTTGGATCATTGTGGTATTCTCAAAACAAAAGGTTAGATAAAGAAAGAGAATTGTGAAAAGGATAATTCAATGCACAAAACTCTAAAAAGATTGATGATATAATTTATTGCCTGAAAAACGGTAACGCAAGCATTTGTCTCTCAATGCATATAATGCTAACATGCAAGACAGATGCAGAGATCCCTTACTTCCAATGACTTTTTTATAAGCAGCTGAGGACACTGTATCACAGCCTGAAAGTAAACATACTAAATATGATCTGGCTGCAGAGACAACTGCAAATCACAGACAACAACCTGGTTCTGACAGGCATGCAGTGCTCAGGTTAGAGGCTTCCTTTGTCCTGCATCCTGTTTCATGAAGATTTTGCAGTGTGATGTGAGGAGCTATACTCTGTCACATTATTTTACCTTGTTGCATTTGTTAATAGTGTTGAATATAGTTGGAGTTTTCCTTTATTCATGAAACAAAAGTATTACGTTGAGAATGATTAAGGACCTAACACACATCGTCTCTTTTGAAGTCGTCCTGATTTATCTGACAGAATCATAGTCCATATATTGTTACATTGCTTAGTTAATAATATTAAACTGTTGTTGCAAGATGTCCAGGAGCTACTGGGACCTGTATGGGACATAAATGCTTATTCATGGGTAGATGTGGCCCAGAACATATATTTTTAGACATCAGGTTGACATTCCAATATACATTTGTTTTCCATTCCTAGGTCCATCAACAGAGAATTCTGGGCCTTGCTAAGCCAATGGTACAATTCAAATAAGGCTTGGAAAGCAGATATGGTTACATGTGTCAACAATTAAGCACAGGAAAAAAGCTAATTTTCTCCCCAGTAGCACTTGAGGCAAACCATACATCATGAGTAATTTTATTGCCATGCGAAAAAAGTTTGGCGTGATGTGTTCTATTTTCAGTTTACCTTCATAATTTTCATCATTTTATGGACGGTTGTGCATTTCAAACTAAATTAACATTTCACCTTTACTCACCATTTGATGATAAATACGAAAGACAGTTAAATACGTAAAACTGGATTTATTCTGTTTTGACCTATAAGTCTATTCAGGTAGTTTTGCCTGCAATCTTGAAAAATACCTGCCAATACCTAAAAAAAACATTATGCGTGGCCATCAAAACTGTATTTTAGTTATGCGATTATCTAACAAAACATCCCCATATTAACCTTACGCAGTGGATATAATCACTATTTAAGATGAATAAATAAGCGATCGACCCTAAATGTTTTAACAGGGTAATGGAATCTCCATTCACCGCCGTGTAAGGACTATTTGAGAGTTTCTGTGGGTACTCAGCAGATGGGCAACATCCTGGAAAGTCAATCAGGAGACATTTTGTTAGATTTTAACATTTTGACTAGAGAAAGATATTATAAAATCACCAGTAGTGTGTATTCTCACTCTCTCCCAACCGCTATTCTGTCTTAACAAGTCACATTTTAAGTGTTTCTCTACGGATATTACAACAGTAAATGATCTGTTCGGCATATATTATGACAATATAAAAACATTTTCAAAAGTTGTGTAAAACATGCTGCACTTTAGTAAAAGGTGCTTCTTTAATCCTTAAACTGCTCATGCAGTGTACACAACAAACGTAGGTTAATTACGAGTAAATTTATGTATTCTTCTTTGGAGAACAAAACAAATGGATTCTTCCCTAGTACTCAAGATATTCGGCGAATAAATCTGCGTAAACGTAGATATTAATACTAGCATACATATTTTGTCGCATTAAACCAAAGTTTATTACTTGCCTACAGTATTTATTGGTTGTATGTTTTATCGATCTGTAATAGTCTGAATAGATTTTAAAGTTTATTGGAATCATTTAGCGGCGTACATTCTGTCTTATTACGAAACCGAGTGTCTTTTGTATTGTTTTTCTCTGTTACTTCAAGGTAAATATCTGAGATGTGTTATTATCTACACCGTATCCATACATCTGGGTTTTTTCGTGTTAAAAAAACAACACTTTTATGACACTTGAAAGTAAGGTTAACAGAACGTTAGTAATTACTTGTGTGTAACCTTTTGTGAAACAAACTGGTAACAATTGAACAAACAGAAACACGTTGAAAGGCGGGTTAAAGGTGACAACTTTCTTGTTCATCTTGGAAGTCATGCTTGCACCTTGTCTTACAACAGGTCAGCCAAATAGATACCCATATATCTTGTAAATATAACGCAATTATGCCTCTAATAGCGGAGATTAATCCAAATTCTTGGATTTCTAAGTATATATTGACAAATAAATCTGAAGCAAATACGTATTTGTGAGCAAACTTTCAGTAAATTAATCATGCCATATATGTGTTTTTTTCAAGATAATTTCACAATCATACTAGTCTATTTCGTTTCGTTATTCTGTGCTGATTATGTAAATTGATGAAAATGGCGTAAATACACTGTAAACCGAATATGGTTTCAATCTACCCAGTGCAGCACTGGCCCCACAGTTTACTACGAAATATTTCCTAGATCAATCAGGAGCAAACAACTGCAGCGATATGTCCAATTGGACGACGGCGTTGCCACTTTGTTTTGCTGCGGCCAATTGGGAACGTCCTAGAATTTCCATCTTGCGTATGGAACGGACTTCTTTTCCTTATATGGCAGTCATGTCCTAATTAGGAGCGCGCCCTCGGAGCTGGGCGCATGCACGGCTGTTCAGTGTCACTTTCAGCAGATCCTGCCCTGTGTTTCTCGGAGATGGAACCTACAGCCTACGGATGAAATGGGACTGACTTTCAGTTTTCACATCTGAACCACTCTTATTACGGACTTGGAAATGTATGGTTCGCAAAGACGCATATTTACGATTTTCTAGGTGGTTTAAAGATTTCCTCACATGGTGTAGCCAGACAAAAAAATAATTAAAAACTTTCTGCCACCGCTCTTGGTGTAACTGCGAACCTCGACAGCCGTTTTGAAATTCCTTGATATACTTAATATTTTTGACATGTCAGTATGCTGAAAGTTTATGTTGTGAAACTCTGTTAGGTTTAAAAGTATGATCCTCAATACATCTGCAAATCAGAAAACCTGTTAGACTGCATGACACAACAAGGAAAATCCGTGCAAGGAATTTCGGACATTTTTTTTTTTGCCCAAAATTCTTTCATTGAACTGTTACCCGTGTGGGACGGGACCTCCTGTATCGATCGCTGTCTGAGATCCTGGGACTCCCTAAGGTCGAGCGCTTAGGAACTTTTTAGGAGCGTGTTTCTGCTTGCCTGATACCTTTCTGAAAGTAAAGGAGTCGTTTTGGCTTACGTAATATGAACGTTGGTTTCACGAATATTCCAAAAGGACCTAATACCATCAGATTTCTCGTTACAGAAACGGTTATCATCACTGATATTATCGCGCACAAAAAATAAGATTTCATATCTGGAAGAAAACGGAAGCGTATTTCATTTATATATATAGTTCTTTTGGTAAGGCGTTTCAGGACGGATCTCCCCGCGCTACGGAGTAAGACTGCATTTGTGGCAAAGTGTTGTATGGTAGCATGGCAATGGTAGTAAACCAGTGGCAAGATAACATTTCTGCAGATCCCGGGTCCCAGCTCCAGATTTGCGGTCAGGATTCTGGAGGGACACCGGGAACACCGTCTGGTTCCACCGCAGGTAATGATGCCCTATCCGGAGACAAAATTCCTAACGTGGACTGCATGGTGTGCGGGGACAAATCGAGTGGCAAACACTACGGGCAGTTTACCTGCGAAGGCTGCAAGAGCTTTTTCAAGCGCTCCGTGCGGCGGAACCTAAGTTACACCTGCCGGGGTAACCGAGACTGTCCGATCGATCAGCACCATCGGAACCAATGCCAGTACTGTCGCCTGAAGAAGTGCCTTAAAGTCGGCATGAGAAGGGAAGGTGAGTGTAGACCGTATTTTCTGAGAGCGCGTTAACATAATCTCTGTGAATGATATCAGTAATATAAAATGTTTGCTTTATAATGCAGTTTATTTGCCTCGCGACTGGCTGTTGTTAAAGTGCAAGCACGTCGCGTAATAAAGTTTAAAGATCACGCAGAGCTATATAGACGGCCATGTCCATCGATTGAACTTTACATTTTCTTGTAGAAAATGTACGATGTGGTTTAAACCTGCCTGATTGGTAAAATAGGCCTACCAATTTGACTTGACATTAATTTTGTCTGGTTGCGTGCTAATAATCTAGAATAAAGGACGCTGCGTTTCTTGTGCGGCGTAGGGCCAATATTAGGAAGGGGGCATTAAGGCTGCTGTTGCGGAGAGGCATTGGCAATCTCTAACGGGCAATTTGAGGTTCGATCGGGCAGAATTCATCCATGTGATAACGTCGGTCAGTACACTGTATAGAGATTAAGTGAGCCTGCCATGGTCTTGAATCCACTGACCTAAAAACAAACGAATACAGGACCGATGGTTTACGATACTGAACGTTACTGTCACTTCAGTAAACAGATCGGTTTCTAATGAATGAAAAACTCATAAAATGTCCAAATTTGCGCTCCGTAAAAATGGTAAATAAAACTCCTTGGATGAATGAACTGGTACTAAACGGTAGAAAAACGCATTTGTATAAAGTACTAGAGGATATTAGGCAATTTATTATGGTATTAAAAATCTTCCATTAAAAGAATTAGAACTATTTAGACCTTACCTTTGCAATTCCTATCCCTTTGAAATAGGCTGAACACTGATGTACGTTCTGCATTACTATGGGGATGGAAGTACTTTGGTCACATATTACACCGACACCAAAATATGGTTGTACACAATGTAACTGTAGGCCTAACTAAGAGCAGATCTGCAAACTTCTCCGGACCGGCTCGGTAATGCAGCTGTATGGCGGATGTATTCTGACCTTTCATCTGAGTCGACATGAATAAAATCTGGTAATTATGACTACAGGCTGCTTAAGAGTGACCATGGGCATTCCCGAATCAAGCGTTTTTCACGGGAAACATGGGCCTATAAAACAGCAGCCCCCCAACTCAAGTAGGCTAAACATGTTAGTGAGTTATTTGAATTTCAGCAATATGGCCCGAGCCTGCATTTGGCCCTCATTTTAAGTTTGTGAACATTTATATTTGGTCAGTCTGATATTGAGCTTCATATAATGTGCACAGTGCCTTTGTCGCGTAGCCTAAATTATGCATGCGCCAATGAAATGCCTAGTTCATGCCAAAAATAAATAATATAGGCCACTATTTTGTGACTAAACACACATTCTCATTAGCTTTAGCAAATTTTGGATTATTTTCTGTTTGGAGAAAGCTTTTCAGTTTTGGTTACTGACGAATTAATAATGTTGTTCTAAGTAATACAAACGTGTCCTGCTACTAAAACTGGAAACTTCGTAATAAAGAGGAGAAATGTGTGTTTTATATTATATTTGGTACGTTTAAATTTAAATATTTTTAAGTTGTTTTTTTCCCGCAGTAACTTTAAAAGCATACAGCTGAACAAAAAGCCTCTTACACGGTTGGAAATACACTTAAAGCTTAATTTGGTCTTTCTTAAGAGATTATGCATCAGTCGTAGTCTTTTTGGAATATTTAACGGACCACCTGACAAGAAACAAAGAGCCTGCGATTTACTCTAAGTCCTGTTTTAATGTCTGTGCGTATTTGCCTGCATGTTTTGCCAGAATCATCATTGGGCAGGTTTATTTCACATCGTCTAGACCCTGTAAAACATTGATTTGATGCCTTATTCATTTGCACGACTATTTTGGTTAGGACCTTAAAAGTAGTTAAAGAATGCATTTGTGATGTTTTCTAAGCTGAAATAAATTGTAAGCTATGTTTATTTAAAGGTGCGAAGCTAAGTATGCTGTGTTTATTTGGTTTAATGTGTTGCCCAAGTTTATACCATTGCGAGTGCGTAATGATTATCCCAGCTCATTAAAAAACCTTCACCTTAAGTATTTAGTATGTTTAATTGTATGTCATCTATTTGGCAAATACATTCATTTAAATGCTATAACATCGGTGCTGCACTTAATACTTTTTTTTCAAGCAGGAGTTTGGAAAGAGAGGTTCTGCTTGCGGTCCCATTTTAACTTAGTCTCGTGTGTCAAAGTTCATTCCTTAAGAATCGGTTTTAAAACCTTGCCCTTTGAGTATTAAATGTATGTATGGCAGATTTATTTTTTCCTGATACATATTAAGTAAAATATAGCAATTTAATAAGTAGCTAGATTTTAAAATAATTTCTCTGTTGATTCAGTCCTTTGTAACAAACATTTCTTATTGGCAAATGTTCACGTTCATCAGCAGTTTCTTTTTAAAATATAGTCTATGCTACCGTAGTGCGTATTTATTCTCAAAAGGCAGAGAAACTCCTGCCGAGCTACGGGCAGCGGCGCCTCTCTACACCAGCTCCCCTTTGGCCATGTGTTCAGTTCTTTGACCTCACCAGCGTGTTACGACTTTTTGCAGGCGTGACTAATAGTGTAAATTAGTCAGATGAGAAAGTGCAGTGAAATTGCAGTTCCCTTCTCTTTATGATGCAGCCACTTTGACATTTTATACATTATAAATTTGAGCCAGACTCCGGTTCTTCTCGTTTGTGATTTGTCCTTAATCTCTAATTGCCTTTCGAAAAAGGCACTGGAATCGGATAGGGCTTGGCAGTTAAGAAAATACGCGATATGTGACGAAGCATCTTTTTTTAATGTGGACAGTTGAACTAAAATGACGGAGTTGGTTCGTAACCCAGGGCTGCCTTTTCGGTTCCTTAGTAATCCGGGGCAGTCCTTTCACACAAGCCTTTCACTAGGTGCGCTACACCCTAGCGGTGAAACGGCGAAACACACAGTCCTGGAGACACTGTCAAAGTCAGGAAAGCGAAGCCCCTCTCACTGCCCTATGATCAAGTGCAGACCTGCACATGACAAACGCACTTATTTGGTCAAATGCACTTAACAGTCAGTATCCGTGAGTGTGGGGCAGCCGTAGGATTCAGCTTCTTGGCAAAGTGATTCTGTGTCCTTCTGTTATCCTAATGGTTCAAGGCAAATCGCAGTTAATACCATGTAGCCTATGCAATAGTCTCGGTGTAGTAATAAATCATCAAAACGCATGTTTTTAAATATGATTCTTGACACTTTAAATCCCTGAAACAGTGATCGCCGCTGCTTTCATCTCAGTGAAGTTGCTCTCAGGGATATGAATACCGCGATAATGATAAACCTCATTCATGCCATTTACTCTAAGATGGACAGACGTCTCGTTTCAACGTGAGAAGGGAATCTGACCGTAATAAAACATGCTTTTATTCCTTTTAATGACTTGCTGAAACAACTGGTTTCTATTATGTATGCTGCATTTTGCTGTATTTTAAACTCATAAGCCTTCATTTTTTTTGCAGCAAATCTCTGAAATAGGGAGAAAATGAGGCCATAAAACACAAGAATCCTAGCAGACACATGCTATGTTATTTCAGTCTAAATAAGTATATTATTATTTTTATTATTATTCTCTGTGAACCTGTACTGGGCATTGAACTGAAAAACATATAATAATAATCCTCATTTTTCGGTCTTATCATCATCGTAGTTTATTTAACTGTCTTTGAATGTTGATAGTAATTATAGATGTTGGTGTGCATGTGTAGCTGGTGCCCAGTGGGCAGTGAGCCCCAGGTGTGACGCTACCTCGCTGCAGCAGAGGCCTGATTGCCCGGTGGGCAATGTAAACACTGCACAGTGCACTGTTTGCTTAGACGTAATGGCCTCGGCCAGCATAGCGACACCACGGCCAGAGGACTGCCGTCCCCTCCCGCGACCCAGCCTCACCCAGCTCCAGCGCGATAAGAAATGTAGGTCAGGGGAAGCCGAACATGAATAATGTAACGGATGGAGTCGAGGACCAAATGTGACGGCGGACTGGGACACGGGATGGATGTCTGTGTTCCTCTTAAGTGCGAGGAGTCTGCAGCTGATTAAGTCTTCCTAATGTTTTAGTGTGATTGGGTCACACTGGGCCACATTGCCATCTCCCTGTCATCTCTGCTCTGTTTGCTTTATTTCTGTTTAACATTCTCCCCTTGGTGTATAACAAACGGCCAGATTAGATTTAGGGGTATTCTCTCTACCATATTCTCTATTAGTGGAAGAAAACCAATGTGCACAAACATGTATAGCTCAGTCGCACTGCGTTCTTTCATGATACGTAAGGTGTAAACACGGGAAAAAGCCCGGTGCACGCTTACACGACCGGTGCACGCTTACACGACCGGTGCACGCTTACACGACCTGCTGGGCTTCAGACCGCATTCGGATTTTCCCCCGTTTCCCCAACCTGCTTATTATGCATTTTATATTAGGAGGGAAATTTCAGTTTTCGGATCTCAGCTGTGTCTCACGTCTCCTTAAGCGGGAGGGAACCTAAGTAAGAAGTAATCTACGATTATCGTAAGAAAAAACATTCCCTGCTGTATCAGAGAGAATTGCATTTTATATAGATTAATGGATGATGTTGTTGCAGTTACGCTGCTAAACGCTCATCTGCAACACTCGGGTCTATTTATGCTTGAAGGGTTTGCTTCAGTTAGAGTTTTTTTTTTTTTTGGGGGGGGGGGTTGGTTGGCAGTGGGTAGCAGATGTACTGGGGTAAGAATAGAGCAGGAGGCTGGGAAGGCAGCATGGGTGTTGCTGATCGCACGGGAAAAGCAGAGGCTTTCAGACAGGCTGCTTCTGCGTCATCAGCAGATCGGAGGTCCCCGGAGGTGACGGCTGTGGGATCGCAACCAGTGTCTGTGCAGCACGAGCTACAACAGTCATTTAAAAAAAAAAATCAGCTACTCAGCTAATATCCTTTAGCGTGGATTATCATGCGTTGTCAACCTGGTACGACTGGGTGTGCCCCCCCCCCGTGGATATTTAGGAGCAGTGGATGGGATGGAATAGCCACAATAATCCGTACTTATAATTAGCTTCAGTCATAATGGCGTTGGCAGGTAAGCCAGTGATTTTTGAAGGGGATATACCCTGAGCTCCCAGTCAGCACTGGGGCCTACGGCTTAATGCCTCATGGGAGGTGAGACGGGGGTCAGACTCCTCCAGAGTCACAACAGGCTAAGAATCTCCGCTAAATGACACCAACGCTCTGATTCGTCCAGCAAATTACCAACCTGGAATGAAAGACCGTGCCGAATGTCGTAACTGACATTTTTTTAATTAAGAAGGGGAATCACCTCCTGTCACAGAGGTGTGTGGATGAACGGCTCCTTTGTGCGCCTCTTGCGAGGTGAGTGTCGTGCTTTTGCCCGAGCACAGAACACCAAGACAAATAGATGACGGTTTTGGCTCGCGAAGCACGCCCGTGTGCCAGCGTCGCTGAGGTGTGTTGCTGTGAGTCACTCGCCCTGAAACTCCCCTGTACCGGGGCTGTGGTCCTCATCCTATTCCCCCATGAAAATACTGCACCTCTTGCCTTTGTAGACCACTGCTTACAGACAGCTACTGATCTTGTGAGGACTGCCTCATTCTAGCTGTCTTACCCTTGTCCTTTTTGAACGCTGCACTTCTTCGACTACAGTGTGGGAACCAAATGAAGGCTTTGTTACTAAAGGCAGTCAATGGTCAAGTCCCCATTCAGATGAAACTCGAGACAAAAGGGTCATTTAAAGTAAAAGAACCTTAAATAACAACAACAAAGTCACATTAGTTACCAGCTGGCACTGCTTATTCTTAGCGTGCTCATTCATTTCGATTAGGGCTGGCTAGGTTTGATTAATTGAGCCTTCTGTAGGTAAAGGGCTGGCTTAGTGCTACCATCATTCAAAAAACGCTGTCTAGGCTGCCTTCGAGCAGTCCTCAGTGTGTTTATCCGGTTTTGTCTGTCAATTTGTAAGCCACACGTGTCGTTTTTGTCCTTCATGTAGACCCACTTTCAGTCACTGGATTTTCAGGCTGCACAAATTTGGCAGCACAACATTCGTTGCTTGGGGTGTATTGGGTCCCTGCAGTGATTTCATATAAGAGGCTTATTGTTTTGGTTTAGACGTAGCTTTGGCTCTTGGGAAAGTAAAGAGCGATCCCCTATTTAAACGACAAAAATATTCCTCGCAAAATTACTTCCATTTACAAAGGGTTTACGAACGAGCTGACTAGGAAAGTAAGACAACAGAGAATTTTAAGTATTTTCAAATGAGAGACTACATTAGTTTACAGGCAATTATTTTGTCAGGCAATCTGCAGTATCGGGTGAGAATAGCATTCATCCATAAGCAATTAAGAGGTGAGAGGAGGAATTTTTGCCACGTTTGTTAATGGATGATTGGAAGCTGTTCATTTGCCCATGCAGGAGCACACAAGGGTTTGTGTTTCTCTGAGTAGCAACACGATGCAAATCATCTCAGCTTGGTTCTGTGTTGAGGGTTCAGGGTCTGGTCACAGCAGTTTGAGAAAAGCCTTTGTACCTTTTGGAGGTGCCCTTACCATAACTGAGGAATGTGTGACCCAGAGGCGGCCATTATTAGGACAGGACCCCCCCACATGGGCGCAATACAGAGTAGAATTCAGTTCTTCCAGTCCTACAGCACGAATACTGAATGATGCATGCAGTATGTGTTCTTGTGTACGACACTGATGGTTTGATTTTATGGCAAAGTGTGCAAATGTTGCATAAAATAATGTGAGATTAACATTAGTACTTCTTGAATGTCTGAGTAGAGACTTTCTTTCACAAAAACTTTTTGCGTCCGAGCACGAGCGTGGATGATTCAGAATCTGGCTCCTCTAAGGTTTACTACAGTTCAGCAGACACTTCTGGATCTCCTGGCTGTCTCAAGCCTTTATGTTAAAGATAATATGTCACATGCTTCACATTTAGACCAATTACCAATTTGATATTCACAATTATTGGCTTAGGAGGGCTGAGCAGGAGCCCTCGGGCCCTTAAAGTCGGAGCAGGCTCAGGCTCGTGTGGCTGGTTCACGAAAAGGTCTTCCGACATTCCATTCTTAGTCCATTCCTCTCCCCACACAAATTCTTTGGCTTTTAAACTTTGGCAGGAACTCTTCTGAATGAGGATCTAGCTTAAGCACTGGCTTTAAAAGTGTCCAAAACCTTACGGGACTCAATCCGCGTCTTACATTTCTCTGCTCTTTAATAAACCATGCAGCTGGATATATGTAATAAAGTAGTGTTGTGTTACATGTGATTTATTGGTGCAGTGTTATACGGTGACCTTCAGCTCTCAAATTTAGGACGTTTTTACTAACCTGGGGCAATGCTTAGTGTTTTTTTGCAAACTCTTGAAATATGGAGAGGCTTTTATTCTGAAACTCCTTCATCCCCCCCGTCAGCCGTCCAGCGAGGCCGCATGTCCACCTCCCAGTCCAGCCCGGGCCAGTACTTGAGTAACAGCAGCGAGGCGTACAACGGACAGCCCTACCTGTCGGGCTTCATCTCGCTGCTGTTGAGGGCGGAGCCATACCCCACGTCACGGTACGGCACCCAGTGCATGCAGTCCAACAACCTGATGGGCATCGAGAACATCTGCGAGCTGGCGGCCCGGCTGCTCTTCAGCGCCGTGGAGTGGGCCAAGAACATCCCCTTCTTCCCTGACCTTCAGCTCATGGACCAGGTGAAGCCTGCAGCTACACACGTCACCATGCCTGCTTGTGTGTGCTGTACACATGCAACCAGCAAAACACACGCTGACAAAGTCTGAGCAAACGTTTTATGTGACTGACTGGGTTGTGATGACCTAACCAAGGTCACCATCACTAACAAGCATAAATTACAACAATAATTAACAATGAGTAAAACAGAATGCTTATCTACACCTTTGATTCTGAGTTTCGGTCCTGGTATAATTCCTCTAGATGCTGGTTTTTGTGTCAGACAGACCTTCCTATGGTTGAGCTGCTGATGATCAAAGTTAAACGCATTCGTGGAACTGCATGCCGCCGCTGCCGTCTCTGGTTAATATTTACCCATAAGTCTGTTAGCGGAGGCGTAGCTGTAAGGCTCTGTGCATTTCATGCATTCCTCCTAAAATACACTCTGTTTGTTTGATGATTTATAAAATGCAAGCAATTTAGAATAAATTCGAAACAAATTCAGAATGACATCAGTCTACATCTTTTATTGTAAATTGTCCGGAGGCTAATTTATGGCTCAAATGACACACATTTACTCACACGGATGGAAAAATTGTCCACAGCTTAAGGTCTCCCAATTAATGTGGTTTGAATCATGCATTAGCAGCTCAATCAAACTGGCAAGAATGAGAGGCTCAGTTCAGCATTTGATTAGTATCTGATGATAATATGTGTCCTTCACCCAGAGATGAGCATTTATCCACGTCCGTTCCGACGCGTGCCCACAGGTGGCGCTGTTGCGCATGTCGTGGAGCGAGCTCTTCGTGCTGAACGCCGCCCAGTGCTCCATGCCCCTGCACGTGGCGCCCCTGCTGGCGGCCGCCGGCCTGCACGCCTCGCCCATGTCCGCCGAGCGCGTGGTGGCCTTCATGGACCACATCCGCGTCTTCCAGGAACAGGTGGAGAAGCTGAAGGCGCTGCAGGTGGACACGGCGGAGTACTCCTGCCTCAAATCCATCGTGCTCTTCACCTCCGGTCAGTACTGTGCCCAGAGCAAATGAAAACTCACTAACAGCCTGAAGTTCTCTAATAATATGTTTCAAATGCTAGTAATTGCTAATAATTGCCTATAAATGGTAATAATTAGATGGGTTGTTATTTATATTGATATGTTACATTTAGATTTAAACAAAAGCCCCGAATCTAGGTTTCATACCCATTACATGCTGCTTACACAGAACCTTACATGTTTCCATTTTTTTCCTGGGTCATTGCCCCTGTCTGTCTTTGCTATCCTGCGCATGTCAGAAACACTTCATCAGCTCTTTTCTCAGACCGGCAGTCTGCCCACCGGACGCTTGCTCCCTTCTCCCCCCGGTTTTCTCCGTTCTTCACCCTTCTCTTCCATCTATTATTGAAGCCAGCCAGGCTCCCCCTTTGCTCTCTGTATTGCCCTCCCCCAGTCATACTGAGCCCCAGGGACAGAATAATGTATACTGAGGAGCAGCCTGGCCCTGACCTACATAACCTCTGTCGCCCGAGGCGTCTATCTGATCTTGCCTTCTGTCCAGTCCGGGGCTTCCTGCTGTGACCCGGGTCCGTGATCTAACAGGGCTAGACAAGCTCGACCCGGGGCTTTAGCTCTTCTGTCCCATTGCGCCACATCACGGCGCCCGGCCTCCTGCCTCTGATCATTTTTCCCAGAATGCTCCCCTTCCTCCCAAAGTGTCCACCTTCTGACAAATGTGAAGGAAGGAGAGACCCGGTGTTGGGCAGCAGGACGGCCGTTGCTCCTCTGAGGGGTGCTTCACAGAGCTGGGATATCTCCACACCCAGAGGGTAACAGGAGTCAAGGGCACAGCCTGCCTTGATTTGTCAAGCATGGTTTAAACATGAAGCAGTGATTAAGAGAGAATCGCACAATCATACGGTAAAATCCAGGAGATGGCTGGTTCTGAAGACGAGCTGAAAAAATAATAAAATGGGATCGCAAAACTTTCGTGAGCCGACAAAAGGGCCGCACTTCTGAAAGCCTTAGATTCCTGTTTAGGGGCTGGTCAGCATCATGGCTAGAGCCAGAGACCCAGTGGAACAATGTCTCTGGGTCAAGGTTCTGACCCAAACTCATGTGCACCTCTTGGCTATCGGTGCGTAAGGCGTGTAAAATGCTGGATTTCCCTTAAATGGCTCAAGAATGTAAATGCTTATGTTATCACTGATAAATCTATATTGCATTATTTAAGTCTGGTAACCTTTGGTTGTCCCCCAGCAAGAAAGAAATTAAAGACATCAAATAGATTTATGGGCAGATACCTTAAGAAGTGAAAAATAAAACTTTAATGAATTATGGATACTGGGTCCTCCCAGAACCCAATGACATGTAGTTAGACTAACTGGAGTCTCTAAACTGCCTGTAGCATGTGATTGTGCATGTGTGTGTGGCCAGTGAGGCACTGGTTTCCAGTTCAGTATGTAACCCAGCTTTGTTCCCTCTGCTGCCTGGGATAGACTCCAGGCCCAACCATGACCCTGTCAAGGATAAGTGATTAGAAGATGGATATATGGATAATAGACACTGGCATCCCATCCAGGGTATCTTCTGCCGTGTGATCGCTGCTTTCTGGGATCGGCTTTTGCTCCAGGCTCAGCATGTCCCTGTATGGCCGCGGTGTTCTAACTGTGGGGAGCGCCCCCCTGGTGGGCCACGGAGGAATTGCAGGGGGGGGGGGCAGGTGAAGGGGGGAAAAAAATAGAACTGTGGAAGGGGTGTTCAGATGGGGGCAGACCTATTTTGAAATAGTAGCCTTTACGAATATTAAAAATAGACATACATGCAAGGTCCAAAATGTTCCTATGTGTAGGAACACCGGCTTATCCTTCCCACTGAGCTGCACGGTAAGATGTATTCGTGATAAATGTGTTTGTGTGTGTGTGTGTGTGTGTGCGAGTGGGTTTACCTATCCTTATGGGGACGCAATGTCCCCATAACGTGATAAATATCCGTTTTTTCCCTTATGGGGACCGGTTTCCTGGTCCCCATAAGGGAAAAATGTATTTTATAAAAATCGGTGACTGCTATGAAAAAACTAAAAATGCAAAAACTCTTATAAGGATAAGGATAGGTATACCCGGCATGTGTGTGTGTGTGTGTGTGTGTGGGTCGGGGGGGGGGGGGTCCCTGTCAAAAAATTTGAATACCACTGCTGTACAGGATCAGCGGTCATGGACGACATGTAACTCTATGGTGGGGTTTGAATTGTCTCTAAATTCATGCTCTCTCCTCCCGGCCCGCAGATGCCATCGGCCTGTCAGATGTGGCCCACGTGGAGAGCGTGCAGGAGAAGTGCCAGTGTGCCCTGGAGGAGTATGTGCGTAACCAGTACCCGGGCCAGCCCAGCCGCTTCGGCCGGCTGCTGCTGCGGCTGCCGTCTCTCCGCATCGTCTCCTCGCCGGTCATCGAGCAGCTCTTCTTCGTGCGCCTGGTGGGGAAGACGCCCATCGAGACGCTGCTGCGGGACATGCTGCTGTCCGGTTCCAGCTACAACTGGCCCTACGTTCCCATGCAGAGGGACCGGCCGCTGTCCCTGCATTACAACGAGAACGGGCCCTGAGCACGTCTGGCCCCGCCCACCCTGCCCCGCCCCGGTGTCTCCGCCACTGCGCCGCCCGCTACCATGACTCACAGACCTCACCCCTCCCCGGGCGTCACCCCATGAATCCCAGCCATCGGCAGGAAGTGACACGCCACCCACATGCCACTGGCGTGTACGGCTCGGATCAGAAGCAGAACTCTGAGGACTTCTCTCGCGCAAAGCTGGGACAGACAGATGGGACATTCAGAGGGTGGAATCCACCTCCTGAGATGCATTGACTGCTTCTGTTCGACTTCCAGCTAATTAGGATTATGTGGGCCCCATTTGTGCCGGAGAACAAACATTCAGAAGCTGGAATGGTTTGAACAAGATGCTTGTGGCCCAGGAAGGGATTGGTAGACACTTCCAGTCTACAAGAAGAGGAAACCCGATATGCTAAAGTACTCCAGCCATTACTGCTAGTAACTGTAAACACAGGCCTACATCCCTCATTTGGTGACACTGCAACTGGCAGTTAGCCAGTGCTGGTGTACATGAGGGGCTAGGAGCTCACCATGCTGTCAGAACAGGCTCCTCTACGGCAGAGCTGCAGATGCGCTCTCACTCTGCGGCAGGGTTAGGCTGGTGCGACCGGGGCAGCCGGAAGCATGCTCAGATACTGCCCCAACTCCATGAAAGTCATGCACTGTGTCTCAGTTTTGCATATTAGAGCACCGCACATCAGAAGGGCCGCCGCCAACATGCCATCGCGCGTACGTGTCGGCAGGCGTGTCCGTGTGTAGCGCTTGGCAGTGAGCGGAGCGTGCCGCAGAGTATGACGACGTCATCGTGTTACCTTTACCTCAGGGTAGCTTAGCCACCCATTTGCCACGTTTGATATTTTATTTTTGTGAATTTTACTTAAAGCTACTGTTTTTCCACATGTACGGTCTGTTTTTTTGTGTGTTGATTTAAGAAGGTATCTGTCTGTGGCATATAGTCAGGGCGTGAGGATCACTCAGGAGGACACAGTTACTACAACACTAGCCCTGGCAGCTCGTCAGCTCAACACCTTCCTCACACGTAAAAAATATGTAAAAATGGGGGACTTATGTAGAATTTCCCCACACGGGATCAATAAAGTATACCTGTCTCTCTAGTGTTATAATGTTCTCTCATCGTGTTGCAATATGGTCCTGCCGCTGCCTGCTATCATTTGTCGACCTTTTGTCCGTTTGTACAGCTTAAAATCCAAGCAGAGTGTGCGTGAAACCGTGCAAAACATCTGTCCATGAAGAAAATACAATGTACTATACATTTTTGTACGGTACCAGACATGCTGACACAGACAGTATTTCGTTTCCATTATGTTACGAATTTAGCAGGACTGGTCACTGCTGGCCAATTATTTGAAGCTAAACCAACTACTTAATTCTCCGGTTTCCTTGGCAGTATCTAAAATTTTATTAGGTACTGGGCAGGATCTACTCAGAACTGCTTCTTGGGTAGCTGAGTTTGTTAATAGACGCCTTTTTGCACACCACTGTTGTGCTGTTATTTTTGCACTTACGGTCTTCCTGTTCGTTTTTAACAAGCCCGGTCATTTCCCTCTCTCGTTAACAAGGTGTTTCCAGCCTCGGAAATACCATTGACTTGCTTTGTGTTCATCACGTCGTTTTCTGTAAGCTCTAGGTACTACAGCCGTACATGAAAATCTCAGTATGATGGCAGTTTCTGAGATGCACCAGTAATCATATCACGTTCAGAATCGCTTAGACCAGCCGTTTTAGCTGTTCCAGTGCTTTAGTCGAACAGTAACTGAACTTCTTGACCCTCGCGTCTGCTGTATGTACTCAGTTGCGGCCACAAGATTTGCTGCTTGCATTAGCGAGCAGGTGCACAGCATGTAAAGCAACATCATTTTAAAATTCGTTTCTTCTGTTGCTTAAAAACAGAAATAAAAAAAAAGCGTAGTTAGAAAACCTCACGATAAGTCAAATGTTCTATCAACAATGGCAGCCGAAATAACTAACACATAAATGGTCAGATGTATTATCTAGCTGGCTGAATGTATTTGCACACCTGAATGGACACCATCCGTTTATGCGCTGCCGCGTTTCGTTTCGTTTGGCAGTCGGCATGAGCGAACGCTTCCCGGTGACGGACGCTATTCTTACTCAGCTTTTTTAGGGTTCTATCAATGTTCTCCGAAGTCCCACACTCTCAGTGACCTCCTGCACATTCATGCTGACCGTAGCATGCGGTGCTCTAGTATTATAAGCTGGGACACAAGCATGTACCTCTTCACCTCTTGCAGTGCACATCAAAAACACTGTCATCTGTAATTATTTACAGAATGAAAGCAGCACGGGCGCTTTTATATGACATCACTACAGAACCACATCAACGAAATACACACTGGGACAGCAAGTCATCGAGACTCTGGTAAACTGGCCCTGCCTGACATTATATTTAGTTCCAAATGTTTGAATTTTTTTTTTTTGTATATTTTCTGTTTGCAGTATTGTCAGTATGCAATCACTTAAATAAAATTTGTCACTGAGATGAGCATAAACATGTTTGATCATGTGTCAGGGATGTGAGCTTTAAGTGATCAGAATAATAGGAATTTCAGCTGGCCAGGTCAACAAAATGAATATTGGTTTGTGTGGAAGCCTGAGTCTATTCTCAGCTGAGATTAAAACATAACATGAGCATGAAGGATGGGATATGAACTGATGTGGTTATTTTACAGTTATTGGGATACTTGCATTTCATCTCAACTTGTTTCTTGTCTCAGATTTGAGAAGTATTGTTATTCTGAGACAATATTTCTTTGACAGGAATTAATGATTGATATTTTATTCATCATGTGGTTCTGTGTCCTACTCAGAATTGTGGCTGCTTTTCTGCTTGCATTGAATGTTGATGCCATTAAATTGAGAGAATCGATTCATTGAACCCATCAGAAATGCACAAGCTGGACCAGTGACACTTCCGATTTCGTTAATGCATAAATGCTCCCATGGCTAACAGCTAGCCTGCCTTTTTAGATCCGTATGGGGGGAGGCGGCCCTCACAGGCACGCTGTGTGAAAATACCTGATAGGCATTGGCCTGTGGCCTGGTGTTCCATTTCCCTGAGTTCCAAATCGAGTCAAATTGACTTATGCCCTCATTTTAAAGCTGTCACTTATGGCTCACCATGGTGACCTTGCTGTGATCCTTTTTGTCCTGAGATGAGCATAAACCATGTATGATCAATTGGTGCGTGTGAGGTGAACTGTGAACAGGGAAGTGTACAATTAAACTGGACCTTTAGCTGTCCAGGATGACAATATGAATAACACCATGACACATTGTTTAGGCTTTTCTGTGGGCATTTATGGTGAATAACACGACCCTATACTGGATAATCAGCATGGAAAATGGCAGGATGGATGGATGGATTTGTGCCTTAGTGCATTAAAACTCTGTGCCCATGAACAGAAGTTCGCCAGTTCAAATCCAGTGCTTGGCAAAGCAATTTCACTGACAGGCCCTTAAACAAGACCCTTAAATCCCAATTGCTCCAGAGACTGTCTGATCCTGCTTTCTCAATTATGTGTCAGTTTTGCAATATAAATAAATGTCAATATTGAAGACACCGCACAATTTAATAGGACTACATGTCATAATGCATTTCGAAGATGTTACATAATCTATGGGGGCAGTAGTTACAGTGCTTCTTCTGTGTGTCAATAAGCGAACGCAATCACATTTACATACATGACACGCCATTGGCTGAAATGAGAAAGAAAATGAGCGCAGTGATGAATCATTGGTAGCTTCCGGCGACCTGCAGCATAAGATAACAGAAATGCAGTTGCATGCTTCGGACCAAGGGAACCCCACTGTCGGCTGCAATGCGGTCTCTGTATTTCAATGGGGGTGGGGTGGGGAGGGGGCATGATGAACAGACACTGGGGTGCAATTTCGACATGAACGTCAGCTACAAGGGCAAGTCGCCTGTCTCCAGAGGAATCCTGCAGCAGGTCAGAATCAATAGGCAAGACGTCACAAATGAATTGAGGTCATCTGTGCCTGAGAGGTTAGAGTCTTTTAGGCTCTTCATCAAAGCTGGGGGTCACCGCTGAACAGCTGAGCTAGGGTCAAGTGGGACTCATGTGTCACGTTCACTTGTGCTGGTGACTCAGTGATGAAGAACATGTCCCGGGGACCAGGGGAGGGGTCCCTTTGAGAGATTTGTGATGTCAGACTTCAGTGGTTAAGACTGATCATCAGAAGTGGAGGAAGAACATGGCTGAAGGGTCCCTTTGAGAGCTTCCTAATATCCATCTTCATCCACTGTGGCTGATCATCACGAGTGGGTTTCACGACCCTTCTGTGATGCTACGTAATTCCCCGTAAACCTAAATATCCGTTGGCTTAATGTAAAACAGCTAGACCAGACACTGAATTGCAATCTTGTGAATTTCAGCTGTTAAGGTGAACCTTTCGCCACAGATTTGCTGTCCGCTTGTACGTTTTCATAGGTGTCGGGGGGCATCGTGTACTTTAGCGAGCCAGAGACTGCATGCATAATTAATAAACCGACATTAAGCGTCTCACCTAACACCAGTGCGGATTTAAGCAGAATTAAGGAACTACAGCAGGGACCATTTTTATATATTTAAGTGATTCATTCAATATCTAGCTCTCCATATACTGAGATGCATCGTTTCAACACAGATATCCTTTCTCCTGGGAAACCACTGAAGAGATTTCATGGGCAGGTATGGGCGTCTTCCTCGATAGAGACTTCAATCCAGAGGAAATGATTGTTGCCAAGGGGATGCATGCCGAAAATGGGATTGTCTCTTGTAAAAAAAAAAAAAAAAAAGTGCCTTCAGTATTTCCCCATAAAACCTTAATGAGGGACTGACTCCGATATATAGCAACACCATCAATATTAATGTGGGAGAAAGTTTCACCAAAGCCAGTTAGGCCACAGAGCATCAATATTAATGGGGCTGTGCTGCAGTCCCGCTGCTTGCTGAGACGTGATTACAGAGAAGCCCAGTAAGGCACGGGACAAATACATTAATACAGAGAGGGACTCGACAAACTTTATAATGCGTTTTCATCCCCACCTAACTGCATCCTAATAGGGGTTTAGTACAGATCCACATCACCTCTGAAGGGTTCATGTCTTATCTTGAATGAACTAAAAGCTGAGACCCTGACCTGGAACGCCTTGAGAGCCTCGACAGATAAGAAGTTCTATCTGACCTCGTCTCCTGCATTGTTTCTTAGGCGACAGTTAGGCAAACTCCTTTTTAAAGCAAAGATATATAATAGCTAATGTCTTTGTAATTAAAACTCAACCTTTCCCAGGCCTGTTCTGCTAGAAAGTGCCATATTTACATACACATATTAAGACCTACCTCTAAACCTCTCATCTGTCTTCATTCCTGTCTGTAAATTTAAGCTATTTTTTATGAATCTGCGCAGCACCGAGAGACACGACAGAAGACAATATTTGCTCGTCTTCCTTTCCCCCCCGAGCAGCCTGTTTTTGTACTAATAGTATCATGCGCTTGCCACAGCAAACCCCCCAATTCAAACACAAATATGATTATGCTGTAGCTGTTTCTGGGTCAGTAAGTTAAATAATTCATACGGTTTATTTTTAGACCAGTTTGTTCCCAGTTTACGTGTCGTCTTGTGCTTCAACATGCTGTGTTCCCATTTCCCCTCTCTCTCTCTCTCTCTCTCTCTGCCATTTTACTATAGGCTTCCATTTGACCTAATAAATGATGCCTCTTAGGGTCCTCAGTGCCATAAAAGAATGCTCTTTTTTTTTCCTACGGTAAATATGGAAGCGTGGTACATTTTCCTTTTATTACATTTCAGCCGATCCATTAATCAGCCCGAGCTAGATCTTTGTGCCATTTGGATGATGCCAAAACCATGGAATCTCAATAAATTATCAGGAAAATCAAAGAGCCCGTAACTGCATCGTACGTCTTACGTGCACAGAATCCTTCCCTGATTTTAGCCCTTATTGTCTACTGCTGTCATCTCCCTCATTCATCTCTTTCTCATCTCCATAAGTGTCCCCGGTGGTTAAAGTAATGGGGGATTTTAACCGGGACTAAATATCTGAAACCTTCTTCCAGACGCATTTTTTATTGCGATACTGCAAACATGACAACTAAATATCCTAATTCGGGGTAGCTGGGAATCTTGGTTCGTGGACAAGCCCTGGGTTTATTGTGGCTCTGGAGGCAGCGAATCGATGTGGCGAGTATTTCAGTTCTCTTTGTGTCTCCACAAATTGCGCGTGTGTGTGCGCGTTCCGTCAGTGCCCTGCAACATTTTCGGGTGGCAAAATATGCCCACAAGTCAAAAGAAATCAGTGTTTGGCACCTTCCCTTCTCAGTGCGAGTCAGTATTTTGAACCAGAGATGAATCTGGGGCAATAGCGTAAGGTACAATCGTAACGTTCACCTTGACTTTTTTTATGTGCCCGTCGGGCCAGCTAGTCCCATAACAATAATACAAACAAATATTACAGTCAGAGCGCTAATATAAACATGCTAATATAAATGAAAATTAGACCCATTTGTCTGACCTCATAATTAAAACATGAATGTGTCAACAGCAGAACAGATTCCCATAAAAGGGAATGATGAAATGTAACATATTGAAGTTACATTTTTACTTCACAATCTCCCAATGTTGGTTATATACTAATGCAGCCTTAATGTCTACACGAAGGTCCCTATTAATCTCTACATTAATAATGTACATTAAAAGGGCGGGCGCTGGCCTCGCTGTTGTGGTTTTCCATAAATTCTGCGCGGTTCTCGGGAAGTAATGGGGCTAATTAATCAACTTCAAATTGTGACGGGATGAATAAAAAGGCAGAAGTGGACATAGAGCGTCAGTCCTCGAAACACAGCTGGAGGAAATGAGGCATTCGGAAGCCGTTCCTGAGCCGTCGATTAATCACCATCCCCGAGAGACTCCGGCATCATCAGCCACCTGGGAGGTGAAGCCCGTGCCTCAGGCCCCAAGAAGTTCATCACCCCGGCATCCTCCAGACCCGGCAGTCTGCGGCGCATCACTCATCTTCCCGTGTCCTCGGGCTACACCTCCCCCCCCCAACCCCCCCCCCCCCCCCCCCCCCCCCCCCCCCCCCACCCCCGCCTCCCTCCGTAGCGCTGTGGCTGCCTCAGCTGATGGGAGACAGAAACACCTGTTAGCGCACCTGGTACGCCGCCGTTCCAGCGGCTGCAGGGTTAATTGTTTAGCCGTCATTCAAACTCCTTGTGACATAACTGGGACTTCAACAAGGCTGTTCGGCACCTGACGCTGCTTCCTACAGACCCGCTCTGCATCCTGACATTTACCGACGGCTTTATCGACAAATTAATCTGGCATCGGGCTTTAATTCCAGCTATCAGCATCCAATATCTTACACTTAATGTTGGTATCATAGCTAAATCATAGCACACATTGTTCCCTATACTACATTTTTTAAAGGATACACCAGAAATATCAACACCGACCCTGAGTCTGATAGACTTTT